GAGGCCCGGGGGGTCGGGGGGCCTCGCCCCCCACCCGCCGCCCGGCCTCCACCGCGGTCCGCAGCCCCCGGGCCGTGCCCTGGAGGAGATCCGAGGGCGAGCACAGGTCAGCCTGGGGAGGAAGAGCAGGGCAGATGGACAGGGACAAAGACAGACGTCAGGCGCAGCAGCAAGACCGCCCTGCCCACCCCTGCCCTCACGTGCCACGGCCAGAGCCTCGCCACATGCAGACGTGCAGCACAGGGACGCGCAGGACAGGGGGACGCGCTTCCTCCTGGGAGCAGACACCCTCTGCGGGCGGAACCCCCCACCCATGCAATTGCTCAGCTGCGCACAGGACGCCACCCTGCAGAGACGGCCCCCTTACCTCAGGCACCCCCATTTTCCGACAGGCTTCTAGGAAACTCTCCACGTTCTTCCGACACTTGAGGGCACTGAGTTTTGGCTGGAGGTGGGTAGGGAGAGAAGACGGGTGAGGGAGAGTCCACAGGAAACCCCCGCCCCAGGCCCGCCTTCTTCCCGGCCCTGACTGACCACAGCAGGTGAGGGCACGTGAATGAAGGGCACCGAGCGCGGCCGCAGCTGGTTGGCCAGCTGGCAGAGGATGACCCCGTTGGCCAGAGCCTCGGCCAGGTCCTCAGGCAGGGGCTGCTGCAGCCGTGACTCGAGGACCTGAGGGGCATGGGAGAGAAGGAGCAGGCTGGGGCCAGCAGGAGACCCGTGCCCGCCCTTTCTGTCCTCGGGGAAGCCCCAGGGTGGGCAGAGGAGCGTTGCAGGAAGCCTGGGTCCTGGGGAGGGAAACTCGGAGAGGCGCCATGCTGAGCCACGGAGCTCCCACTACGGCTTACCTGGCGCAGTTGAGTCATTAATTCCTTCTCGTCGGGAACCTGGGGGGATGGTCGGGGCCTCAAGACAGAGTCTGGTGAGGAAGGGCCTGGGAGAAAAGGAGGGCACGGGGGCTGTCTCCACTGCTCACCACTGCCTTTGAGGCTGGGTCCCATGATCTGCCACTCACAGCTACCACCTCTCTGCTTGTGGGATTTTCAACACACACAACAGACCCAGCAGGGGGACACGCCCAGCAGTTACTGCTGGCTGGCACAGGGAGACCCACCTGAGCCACTCTGTGAGGAGGAACGGAAGAGGAAGCTGTTTGGCCTCTGAATGGAGCCGAGCGGCCGGGGAGCAGGTGCTGTCGCTGGGGGCCAGAGCCAGGGACGGGGCAGGTGAGAGCGGCGTCCTCTCGGTGCCCTACTCTTCCCGCAGGCTGCCAGGTCCCCACCACCCCTGTGCCCGCACAGGCACCCATCCTCCTCCAAAGTCCCCGTCCCACCTGGCCCAGGTACAGGAAGGAGCTCCTGGGGGGTGGGGGCAGCAGTAGGGGCTCCCTGCCCCACAGCAGCTCCCAGGTGGGTGGCACTGGACTTGGCTGGGCTGCTGAGGAGAGGCAGAAGGACGTTAGAGGGGACGTCGGGGAAGGGTTGGAGGAGAGGACTCGGGGGGAAAACCTACTTGCAGGTGGCTTGCGTGGCCAAGGCGGCAGCCCCTCCCCCAGCAGCCCTAATCCCCGGCTTCAGGAAACTGGAATAGCAAGGAGAGGTGGAGTCAGCCCCAGGGCAGAGCAGCCGGGAGGAGCAGCTCGTTTCCACCCATGTCCAGGACCACCATGTCCAGCAACAGCCCTCTGTCCACACCCGTCCTTCCTGGGGGTCCCCCACGGCCCGCTCTGCTGCTGCTGCTGCTGCTGCTGCTGCCGGCGCTCACGCTCCTGCCACAGCTGCAAGGTGTCTGGACGCCGCCGCTCCTCCCCTGCTGGTTCCTCCCGCCTGAGGAGCCAAGACAGAGGCAGACCCCAGCCGGGGTCAGAGGAGGAAGGCCGGGGGGCTGGGAGTAACGGGCAGAGTGCTGGCTCAGGGGCTCTGAGTACCTGCTGCTTGGCGCCTTCTCCTTATCCCCTGCCGCAGGGCTTAATTCGGGGGGCCGCTGCTCCTGAAAAGAGAACAGCACCGAGACTGAGCAAAGGCCTGAGCCCCCAAGCCTGCCCGTCTCTCGGCCTCCAGTTTCCCTTCTGCTGGCGAAAACACATGGAGGAGTCCCCACCTCGGCAGCTCCGCGCTCGTCGTCCTCCCCAGGGACGTGGCTGTCGATGAAGTCTATCTGCTCAGGGTCTCCGTCAGCTGGAGAGGCCGGGCCATGTCAGCAAGCAGGCGGGACCCCCGAGCCCTCGTCCTCAGCCACCTCCCTGCTAACTCGGCTACTCACCAGAGCCATCCTCCCTCCGTTCTCTGGGCCCCCGGGCCAGCTCTGAGACCCGGAATGACAGCTCCGAAAACTCATCGGTCGACTGTAAAGGCCAAGATGAAGGAATGGGAGATGGCCTCCGCAGGGGCTCACAGGGGTTCAGGGCCAAAGGAGCTCACGCGAGATCGAGACTGGGGCCTGCTGCTGAGCCAGCCCTTCCCTGGGGCACCGGGCAAGGGACGGAAGAGGACAGCCTTGGCCCCACTTGGCACCCCGAGACTCAGAGGCACTGGCCAAGGTCTCCAGCTTGGAGGCTCTCTTCCAAGGCTGACACCCGAGTCTGCCTTGGAAAGGGGCCCGTACCTCATTCCCAGACCACCTCTTGCTGCCACTGTCAACGCTGTGGAAGCCCGAGTCCAGCCCTCCATCGTACCGACGGCCCGGAAACAAGTCCTCAGCAGGGCTGGGGCACCAGGGAGAGGTGGTCACCTCAGCCGCACAGCAGCCCCCTCACCCTCCCAAGGAAGAAAAGAGGCTTCCTCCCTTCCTTCCCTCCCACCTGGGGCTTACCAGGGACTGAAACTCGGGGGCCGAGAAGGCGCCAGGTCCCCCAGTGCAGAGCCACGCTGCCCAGCCTCTGTGGACAAATACTTGAAGATGTGGAGTTTCCCCTTCAGGCAGATCTGCGTGTGAAAGGGCACATGTTGGTAAGGGAGGAGCGGGAGGATGGCTCTCCAGGTCCTACCTGCTGCCGAGGGACCTCCCCCCCTCCTGCCCAGCCTTATGCCTGTTCCCACGGTCCACCCAGGCCCATGCCTCACCTGGGCAGGCGGGCTTTGCAGGGGGTTGCTGTCCAGCAGGATGACCTGCAGGTGCCTGAGGCGGCAGAAGGAGACCGGGATGCGGGAGACACGGTTACAGGAAAAGTCCAGGCGGACGAGAGGAAGGTCCCCCAGCTCTGGGGGTGGGTGAGGGAAGAGTCAGGAGCGTGTCCGAGGATGGGGCCTGGTGCTCACTTCCTCACCCTCCGCTGTGGCCAGCCAGTCGCCCCTGGGCCGTCGCCACCTCTCCTCTGGGCGGCAGGGCCACTCTCCTTCCGGTGCCCGTCTCTCCTCAAGCCCGGCCCCTTCTGAGCCGAGTCTCCCCAATACGGCCCGCAGGACCTCAGCTCCTTCTCCCTCCACACTTCAGCCGACCCTTCGTTCCCTGTCGACTGGCCCAAGACACAAACCAAACGATGGCACGCGCAGCTCAAAACTCCTCTGTGATGTGCAGCCAGGGCTGCTGAGGCTGAGTGCTTTGTGCCTTGTACTAGTCCAGCCCTGCACCCTGGGTGCCTGTCCACAGGAAGGGGTGTCTTTTGCTAATTCTTGAAAAGGCAGTCTGGAATCATGGTGGCACTAGACAGAATAAAAATCACAGCTCCCTAATCTAGTATGATCAAGGCTTGCTTTCTTTTTTTTTTTGAGTCAGAGTCTCACTCTGTCACCCGGGCCGGAGTGCAGTGATACACTCACAGTCACTACAGCCCTGACCTACTAGGCTCAGGTGATCCTTCTGCTTCAGCCTTCCAAGTAGCTGCACCACCATGCCCAGATAATTTTTTGATTTACTGTAGAAACAAGGCCTTGCCATGTTGCCCATGCTAGTCTTGAGCCCATGGGCTTAGGCAACCCTCTTGCCTCTGCCTCCCAAAGTCCTGGGATTACAGGCGTGAGCCACCATGCCTGACTTTTTTTTTTTTTTTTTTTAAGTCAGAGTC